TTGTGTTTGGAAGGTTTGCGCCACAGCATGTGACTTTCCCAGAAAAGATCTCTACCCTTTGCAGCCTCAACCCTCAACCCTACCGACCAACCCCATGCATCACCTACTAACCCTAGAAACCCGCCTCAAAACTCTTGGTGTGAACAGAAAGCGCAGGGGATGTTGACATTTTGTGGGTGTGGAAGGTTTCCGCTTCAACATGTCACACTCTCCTGGAAGAGCTCTGTACCTTACACAACTTCAGCCCTCAACCTTATAGCCCTAATCCATACATAGCCTACCAGCCCTTGAAAACGCAGTGGATGTTGCAGCTGGGTTTTCCAAGTTTTGTGCTACAACATGACTCTCCGCGGAAAGTTCTCTATACAACCTAAACCCTGTCACACCTATAACCCCAAACCCATATGATAGCCCTCTAACCTTCAAACCAATCCCAAAAACTTGATATGAGCATGGATGTTCAAACTTTCTGTTTGGAAGGTTGTGCCAAAGCATTGCTCTCCGGGGAAATCTTCCCTATACCGCCTAAGCACTCAACCCTGTGTAACCCCAAACCCACATATAGCCTCCTCACCCTCAACCCACAGAAAGCGCAGGCAGTGTGTTGAAGCCTTCAGACTGAGTGTCCATACGCAGCAGTTCTGAGAACTCAAAGACTTGTTGGCGGTTTGGTTGGATGCTATATTCAAGGTCGTACATCATTTGAGGCACCCACACACTGGCATATTGTGTGAATTCTTCTAAAAACATCCTCCCAAAGCTTTGTTACAATAGTTTTTGGACCCCAGCCCATACACCATTTAATCTTTGTCATCCTTGTCAACCCAAAGCCCCAGGCCCACACACAGCCTTATAACCCCAAATCTGCCCCAACAACTTGGCATGAACGTTAGGGTGTTGAAGCTTTGTGTTTGGAAGGTATTTGAGGGAACACAATCTCAGATATCATGTCAGTTTGCGCGGCCCCACTTATATAGGACTAACAGTGTTTCACTCTCGCGTGTCAACGCGATCCGCAATGGTGGAGCCGGAGCCGAAAAGAAGGCGAGCTGGCGGGGTGCGCCAAAGGCTAGCCGCCGCGGAAGCTGAGCTCAGGAACAATGTTGACCGTAGTTTTCTGGCCGAGTACTTGATAGAACAGTACGCGTGGGGAGAGATGACTCCGCAACAGGTTCAGGCTCTGGCCATGTGCGGTGTGCGAGATATGGAGCGAGCAGCTCCTGGAGTTTCGTGTCCCCCGCTGGAGGTCCTTTCAAAGCTTGGCGACTCTGGCAGGCGCCCCAACAAGTGTCACCAGGAACTCCTGCGGCACGTGGAGCCGAACGTGAGACTGCCACCTGCAGCTACAGCGGTGTTTCCCTTCAAGCCCCCCC